GGCGATGCAAGAAGAAACCCTAGAGAGATAGAAGGAAAGAACATCGACAGTAAGATCCTGACCTCGCTGTCGGAGATGATTCGACGGCACTCCCGGAGGACAGCAGGGGTGAGGTAGACTTCCTTGCGAATCATGGTGTCGTTCTTGTAGTTGGAATTGTTAGCGTAGCGAAGCTTGCCATCGGGTCGGAATTCGAACTCCAAGAATTCGTGTCCAAATTTGCCTTTGTGCCCCACATAATATCTCAAGTAAAACTCTCCATTCTCCAAATCCTCGCCCGACATTGCACTCGCCTTGCACCGTTCTTCCTTCCTCTCCCGCCGGCTCTGCGACTAAAAATTCTGGAGACGTGAAGAGCTCAACCTTAGGATTTGAAGAAGTCGATCGGGAAGAGCCCCTAAGTTGTCTTTGACTTCGGTCGGCCCATCAACCCAGCTACGCATTACTGGGCTTCTTTCTTGCAAGAGTTTATATTTAGGAACTGGACCGCATGCCGAAAATAAAAACTAGTAATTTTATTTTTTTTATTTTTATTTTTTTAATTTGAATTGGATTAAATTTCTCAAAAACTAAAAAAAAATTCGATGTGACATTTTTTGGTCGGGTAACCTAACCAATCCGATTATCTCAAAATAGGGTTAATAACAGATGTTACAGATGCGTTATGACTTGCTGTAGAATTTTTTTTAATATAATTTTTTAAAAAAATCAACCTAACCTAAACCTCTTTCAAATTTTTCCGATCATAAATCCAACTAAACATATAATTATTTTAAGTTTGTTCAAACCATTTTTTCAATTTAACCCAACTAAACTCGATAAAAATGTCTGTTTTTATGTTGGCATAAGGTAATTGGTAAGTTTGAGTGAGATTTTAGGTAGTTTTAGTTCTAGTAGAAAGAATGAAATATAATATAAAAATTTAATTTATATGAGAATATGAAACACGGGAAGAAAAGAGATCATAAGACGAACACCTCTTTTACACCATAAGTGAGGTGAGTTGGTGTGTTCTTATGGAACTCTTGGGTGAATATAAGCAACATGAATCCAACCAAATAGATAACAAAAACTAACAGGGATCACAAATTATTGAAGAAAGAAAGGCAAGCACTGCATCTTCCCAAGCCGCTCACGCTCATAGAACAAACAGGGCGGTGAAGCAGGCAATGGAAGCCCCAAAGATCAACTGGTTGAGACTGATAAAACCAGAGGAGCCTGCGCTTGGAGACGGAGGCGACGGGGGGGTGTCAGCCGGTGGGGTGTCAGCCGGTGGGGTGTTAGCCGGTGGGGTGGTCCCCGGTGGGGTTGGGGTGGCGTTGGCAGCCACAACATTGATCTGAAGCTTCATGCCGCTGGAACAGTGACCCAGTGTTGGACAGAGGAAGTACCTTGGCCCTGTCGCAGACAGAGGAATCGACGTGCTTCCGCCAGTGTGAGATCTAATCACCGAGGTCGACGAACACGCCTTGTAGCTCGCCTCATTCACCTCCGCCACTGAGTGACTCCCACCATAATTGAACACTGCAATTTTCACAAACGTTAAACAAAACCCAAATCCAATTACGCCACAATTTCCATTCTATTCATAATTCAAACAATTACCCAACGAGTCGCCAACTTTGAAGACTTGCCCTGCAGCCCAGGTACCATAATCAAACCCCTGACTCCACCCAGAATCGCCGCCAACAACGATATCAGCACCATAAACCGCACGCACAGCGACAAGAAAAACAAAAACAACCGCCACTTTCATCACCATTTTCACAGCCTACTTCGACGTTACAGAAACAGAGACAATCAGAGCTTTGAAACAACGACGACGCTGATATCGAGTGTTTATATAGAATAAAGCTTAAAAATTTTCAAATTCTTTTTCCTCTGCTTCTGGGTAAAGTCAATAAAGTCTGTAATTAAAAAAGAAAGAATAACAGAAAGTGTCATGATTTGACATGGAGTGTTCTTGGTTGTATTTTCCTTACTATTCCACCTAATGCATTTGCCATTTGAGCAGGACATAATTTCGTGGCGGCGACCATATGGATATTATATCCAATAATAACTCAGTGGCTGCTAACTTTTGTTAAATTAAGAGGACCAATATTTGTTTATTTGGGAGATAAGAATAAGTAGACGACTAGAATGATCTAAGATGCTTCATATACTAATGGCTCCCACCTAACACATGATAATGGAAGGGTTAGTTAGCTTAGGGAATGCTATTATTGACCCATGTGGGATTGGTCTGGTTTGCTTTATGCTTTGGGTCAATAGATTATATTATATGTATGGGAGGTTAGGTAGAGATAGAGAAGTTCAATTTGAAGTGTAGGAATGGATGGATGTAGTTGGTGTAGAACTTATAAATTATATTTAAACTCATACATGATATTTATATGTTTTATATTTATACTTGGAAATGTTATTTGATCGAATAATTTAATATGATATAGACTATCCTTTAATGTTTAGGTAACTAAATTGAATGAAAATTTATGTGAAATATAGTGAAAGTAATGTAAATGCGATGAAACATAGATGGAATTAATGTGTTGAAACGAGTGCTCAGATATAAACTTTTTATCATATGACATGTTAGCTCAAGTATAAATGTAACCGTTCAAATCCAATACGAATAGATATTGTTCACTTTGGTTCATTATGTATTCCTGTCAGTCTCACGATTTTAAAACGGTCTATTAGAGATAGATTTTCATACCCTTATAAGGAATGTTTTGTTCCCCTCTCCAACTGATGTGTCATCTCACAATCCACCCCGTTAGAGATTTAGCGTCCTCCCTGACACACTGCGGAGTTTGGCTTTGATATCATTTGTAATAGCTCAAGCGCACCGCTATCGGATATTGTCCCTTATTGTCTCAACCACAACTTGTTCAATGTAATCCTACTAACATGTATACAAAATATATAATGCAATTCTCACCTACAGAAAATATGTGAACTTTTCAAATTTGTTTCATCCATCCTAAAAATACCAACGGCTTTCACACATGTTATAAGCAAAATATCCCAGCATAGTCGTGTATTCTTTCAATGTGCTTATAGCAACAAAGATCTTCTAAATTGTCCCTTTGATACAGTATCAAAAGACAAAAAAAAATGCTATAGATGTCTGCGAGAATAAGTCATTTTCAAATAAGATCACATGCTATAAGCAAAAAGATCCGAGCATAAGTCTTTTCTTCTTAAGTTTCTTAGCCCTCTCCCCTCTCAATATAGTGTATTCTCTAGTTAAGTCGTTTTCAAACAACTTTAACATATGCGATAAAAAAAATATCTCAACAATCAACTATGTGTTCAATGTGCCCATAGTAATAAAAAAATCACTTAAAAACGTCTATTTTACATACTTTCTAAACAAAAGAACGGATATGTTATAAAATAAATTTTCAAAAAATGTTCGTCTCAACAAAAACAAGACATTTTTAAACACCTTGGAAGTGTTCTTATATTTGTTCAATATGCTTACCGAACCAAGAAATTACTTACATCCAATAAGATTTTTATTTTAATATATTCCCAAAAAAAAAAAAATCCCAACCCCAATTTAGCACTCTTTTGAGTGAAATCCTTTTCAAACAACTTTCACATGTGTTATACAGAAAATATTGCAACACAGTCATTGAACGTGCTCATAGCAACTAGAAATCACTTAAATTGTCCATTTCACGTTCTTTATAGACTGAAAATGTAACGACCCTAAATTTTCACATACTCGGAGTTGCTACAACTGTCTCATGCTCATCTATAATGCGGAAATATAACGCTTACATGAACATCATTTATAACGTAAACTTCGAAAAACGTTTAAAACAACTTCTTCTCCGGAAAGCACAGTCATGGTCTTACGTGTTTAAATACGAAATACTAAAACTTAGAGAAAATATAAAAAAAAAATACAAAATAATTTAAAACAATGAAGTGAAAAACAACATATTCTAACTTAGACTAGAAATTTAAATATTAGTCTACCCTATGCACGTGCCACAGTCTTTGCTCGCAATGTCGCCGTCCTCCGTACAAGTGTGTCTTGCCTTTAACTGAAAAATGATGTGGCACACCGCTTGAGTATTTCAAAGAATACTCCGTAAGTGGCCCTGTGCAAATGCAAACACATGCAATCTTGATTTAGGGACCTATCTCTAATCATCTTAAGGGTGGCCTCCAGTCTCGGACAAATTGGATGTGTAGTACTTCCTTACACACGATTCACACGTGCGAGTGTTAATCCCCAGGGCGCTCGCACACCCCTTGGACCCTCTGGTTAAGCTAATCTGTAGCGATGTCCGGAGGTCAATAGAACCCCATAGTGTAATGTGTCTTATGAACACCCTCATCTGTGCGCATTCGCACTCATCATCATACTGTGTGCGTCCGCACTCATCATCTCCAGGAGAAGTAGCCCTATGCTTATGAACATACAATATGCATGAGGTCACTCTAAATCCATCATAATGTCTCTTCTGACACAACCCTCTAGTCTCATCTCTTTGTTACTCTAGGTAACACATACTCGTGGATATTTATATTAATATCATTTTCATGCTCTTGGGGTTGTGTCCTATGTCGATCTAACAACATGATGCAATATGACACTCATCATCATATAGCATGTTCAATATGGAAAACATCATCATATTAAGGTAAACGTCACGCAATCATCATACTCATCATATTGACGCAATCATCATACTCATCATATTGCCATAAAGTGCATCAAGCATATCAAATACGTCATTCATCGAAATATATATACTACGCACATCGAGCATCATAACTCATACATCATCGTAACTCATATATCATCGATTACGACGAAAGCCTAGATTGGAGATAGCTTGATGGGAGGAGCATGTCAATAGCTTAGATAGCTCCAGACAATAGTTCAAATGATCCCCGAAAATTTTTATGGCGTCAAAACAGCCCACGACGTAGTCAAGCCTGAAATGGCAAACAAATACAGAGAAATATTGAAGTTGGCTAAGGTTTGAATCCTATATAAGAACAAACTCTAGCTTCCTTATAAATTCTGCCAGCCCTACAAAAGTAGCCCTTACTTGGGGCACAATGACTATCTTTAGAGCATAAACACAATCCTTCCAAGGCACACCCATCTTTATCTATGCTCACAGTTCCTTCCACTCCAAGAATTTGATTGGTCCATTCATTTGAGAACAGCCCATACGGATCATATTCATTCTTAATCTTCAAGAACCCTTCTCTATTTCTGTACTTCCCAATCGCTTCAAGAAATGCAATGTTCCTGTTCTTCCCCCAATGCGGAATACCTCCATATTTGAACAACGCCATTTGTTCCACCTCTTCAAGCACGTCTTCAAAAAGCCTTGGACTCATTGGGTCTTTGCTCCTATAATATGTGAAGTCAAAGTTGATGCCATCTTCTTCCTTCCCCAAGTAGGCTGTGGAGGCTTTGACATAGCGCATCAATATGCCATTGTAGAGCTCAAGGCCACAAAACGCCATGGGCTCTAACTCACCAAGCTTTCTCACGTCTTCTATGAAACCTTTCACCACTTTTAAGTCAATGCTGATACCTATTTCGTGGAAAAACTCCCCTTTTATCGATGGCTCCCAAGGGCATGCTGTGATTCTAAGATCATTGACACTGTCTAGGCAAGATCCAGAGGATTGAAGCCGATTGTTATACCCGATGACTGGATATTTGAGAAATGTGATACCTATTCAAATAATTGCATGCGGTTAATTAAGAGAATTTTGTAATGGTCTTTGGTGTGTGTTCTTACCATCGTTGGTTAATCCGTAAGCTGATAGTGAGAGAAGTGACGTGATAATCTTTGCACTAAGACACTTCCCAGCTGCATCACGCCTTGCTTCTTGGTACTCCTCTATGTAAAACAAGATGTCAAAACTTGAAGTGGGTAATTAAGCTACAAGGGTCAGGGGCTCGCTCGTAGTGTTGCAAAATTGATCGCACTCGCACACCCACAAATAGAAAATAAACAAAGAGACAGATTTACGTGTAGTAACCAAAGTATATCTCTCACACTACAAAGTGTTAGGAATAAACGCCTCTCCACAATGGTATGACATTGTCCATTTTGAACATAAGCTCTCATAGTTTTATTCGAGAGAATTGTTATTTATGAACTAATGATCATTCCCTAAATTAGCCAATGTAGGACTCCCTCCTAACAACCCTAATACAAAATCTCTCAACAAAGTTTCTCCTAATTGTCTATAATTAAATACAAAATTACAGTGACTCCAAAGCTCAAAACAATAATAGATGAGCCTTTATATAAACATATACAGTAATACTAATTCTCATGCATGGAACAAAGAAACATTAATGCTCATATATGAATTAAGATGATTCATGTATTAAAATGGAAGATAAACCAAACAAATGAGAATTATGAACCAAATAAACGAGAGTTATGAACCAAATAAACCATAAATGAATCAAATGGTTAGGAGTTATTGGTCTAGTCAACTCCTGTTTCAAATATAGTTCTAGTCTTTAGGAGTGCTATTCTTTGGACTTTTTGGGATTTTTCTGTTGATATTTTTATGTTGTCTACTTTAGGTTATTTGTGGTTTCTATATTTTTGTAAAGGATATTCAATGTCAGGCTTAGAATTAATAAAACAGTAGATCCAATTATTTATGTTCTGTGCTATAACAATCCACCGCAGAACTTATCACAAATAACGATAGATGAATCGAACAAATGAGAATATGAACCGAATAAATGAGAATTATGAATTAAAATAAATGACATAAACGTATTTTTCATGACAACTTATAACACGTAGATTCACACTAACTTGAGGCACGAACAATGGCCAAGCCGGCTGAGGGTGTGGGACAAAATGGAATAAAATCATACAAGCCATTGCCGGATGTATTGGATGAAACGCGGGTGTCTGTGCGATACACAACTTTTCGCTGGCTTGGATACCAAGTCATGTCTGCGAACTCGTAGCTTCTACCGAAGCTAATCACTTCATCGCTCAAATCAGTGTCATCCCTTTCAAAATAGGTGATGGATCGCTTGAACATGGGCTGCAATTTCAGAGTGAACTACACACGCACTACTCATCAATTAATATTGCCAAATATATGCAGTATTCTATAGGGGTAGAAACTCTACCTAGTTACCAGAGTTTTCACAAGTTTTAATAATACCATATCGTTACATTCGAATAAAAATTATTAGTAATTTGTGAACTTTGTTAAGTTTTATTAATATTCTTCAATTTTTATAATAAAATTTAAAAATTTGCTTGAAAAATACTTGGTAATATTACCACTCTTAACATTTATATAAAAAAAAAATGTTTTAAACAATTATTACCCTCGATATATAGACGAAAATCATTTATAAACATCTCATTTCCCTTCTTCAGTTTCAGGGTACTAACATTAAAGAAGATTTAAACTTTTTATTTTTATAAAAGTTTAATGGTATTAAAGTTATTAATGGAATACTATTAATTTTTTTTTAAGGGCTATTGAAACTTTTTGAATTTAAAAAATTCAAGGTGATTTTTAAACTCTTTTAAAATGTATTTTTGATGATCTAAGAAGAAGAGGATCGTCACCTGTGTAATAATTCCAAGAACTCCCAATGAAACTTTGGCAGCGTTGAGGTGTTGATCGCCATCAACAAGCCTCCGAACTTTGGCGTACCCATCTTGGGCTCCTCCAGGACTCACCATTTTCATCCCCACAACGTAATCATGAACAGCACTCCCTTTGCCCCACAACGAGCTGCCATGTGCCCCCGTACTCAGCAGCCCACCAATTGTGAGGCCTCACCAATAAGGCGCATGCGGCAACGCAAGCCCAACCGCCGCAGCCACCTCTATGATCTCCCTCACCGTCACTCCACCCTCCACGGTTATACTCATGCCCTCCCCATCTACCTTCAAAACCCAGTTCAGGAACTTGGTGCTTATCACCACCCCATCAACCCCATCCGGGCATGCCAGCTTCGGAATGCTATGATAAAATCGAGTGCCCACCTTAATTTTCCTCATGGCCCTCGTGGCCGCCGCCACCGCGGAGATCATCTCCGCCTCTGTGGTTGGGTACTTCACCTCTCCCACCCGGCAGATGGCCCGATCTGGGAAGGTGGCGTAGGCGTTTGTAATGGTGCAGTTGGCGTTTGGGGATCGGCATTTGATAGGGTCCTCCGGCGGAGTAGACTCGGACACTGACACAAGAAGAACTAAAAACAAGATGAGGGTAGTGAACCGGAAGGCATGAGACGACCGCATAGTGGTCAGTTTGGGCGGCCCCTTCTATATATAATAATGTAATTTTTGTAGGAATGATTGCATTGGTTTTGTTGGCTTGTATTCAAAATAACAAATGAATGATGCATACCTTGTGGTACAATCAATCTACATCCTAACCTACTCCACCTTGGTTTCATTATGGCATTCTTATTAACATCTATGTCCGAAGTACTTAGGTGACTTGAATAGAGAAGCCTTCGCGGTCACCATTTCAACCCCTTCTCCATAAAACTTTCTCAATTTATTTTTGTTGTAATTGGGTTTGATAATTTTTACCATTTCTTCTAAAAAAAATTAATTTTTAATATAATCTAAAATAATTCTAATGAATCCTAAAACCTTCTATCAACTTATTTGGTAATAATTTAAATTTTAATATTACAAAACTAAAAAAATTACAACGTTGTCTTTAGTTTAAATATTACAATGTGTGTATCTGCATGTGTGTGTGTGAGACAGAGAATTGGGCGGGACAAGGTAGGAGAACTTCATCGGCCCTATTTATCTAACGGGAAAAAAAATGTTGTCCACTCCTTCCCTCATTCCTCGTCTAAACGGAAAATCTCCTCCCCATTCGAGGTGGGTCCCCGTAGATAAAATGGACATCTCTAATCTACGGTATGGAAATGGATAAGCCACTTCTGATCATTTCGTTCTCCATCTCGTGAAATTTCACACTTTTTTTTTTTTTTGAGATGGAGAGAAAATTCTCGAGAGAATTTGATTTTCTTTTTCAATTTGATTCCCTCGTATTTCACGATCGTGGCACTCGGAGGACTATGATTAAAAAATTTGAATAGAGTTTACTACCCGTTCAACCCTTTATTTTTTAGTTTAGGTTGTCGAGTTATTCTTTTTTTTAATTATTTTAAAAAATATGGTTCTTTTCACCATACATATTACATTAATAACCAAAATCTTATAAAATTCAAATATCAAATATTTATAAGTCACAACACATCATTTATTTCCTTATTATCTATTTATATTAATTTCTCATATTTATGAAATTAATTATTAGGTTTACTTTTCTAGGATTTATTATTACTCACAAACGTTTGGCTATTAAGAGAAGGAGAAGTCAAATCTTGATTGGTAGTGGGTACTTGTGTTGTGGTACATTTTGTTTCAAGTTGTGATATTAATTCATTTTATAGTTTGCTTTTTACTTTCATCAAACTTTTTTAAAGTTTATGATATGAACCACGACCAAAGAATTTTCATATCTGAAGGTCCAATTACAAGGACGAGAGCTAAGAAGCTACAACAAACCTTATACAGTTATATTCAAGCTATGGTGAGTTCATCAAAAGAAATTCTAGAAGACGCTGGAGACCTCCCTTATATGTTGTGCAAAGTTGAGCTTCAAAAAAGAGATGAATTAAATGCACTTTAAGTTGCATTTAATGAACTCCACTGAATTTATGAAACTAGTCCAACGATGAGTCAATAAGCACATTTTATTAATTACATTATTTAATTATAGTTTAAATATTTGTTTGTCATATTTAAGCTAGTTTTAAATATAGGAGTTAAGGTTATATTGTAACCCACATAG